TTCTTCTCCTTCTTCTTCTTCTTCTTCTTCTTCTTCTTCTTCTTCTTCTTCTTCTTCTTCTTCTTCGTCTTCCTCGTCCTCTTCTTCTTCGTCTTTCTCGTCCTCTTCTTCTTCTTCTTCTTCTTCTTCTTCTTCTTCTTCTTCTTCGTCTTCCTCGTCCTCTTCTTCTTTGTCTTTCTCGTCCTCTTCTTCTTCTTCTTCTTCTTCTTCTTCTTCTTCTTCTTCTTCTTCTTCTTCTGTTGTAGACCTGGACTGTTTGGTCTGGGTTGCACTCTATTTCGGGGAGCAGCGGCCAGGTTCTTCTTCAACCAGCAAGTCAGAACATGATTTTTTTTATTATCATTTTTTGGGCCACATCTCGATTTATGCGTGTCATCCTTGCTCAGGGGCCATTCTAATCTTCTCTGTATCGTTGCAATTTTAGAGGATGTCCTGAAGGACAGTCAGAACATGAAATGGTTTACATTTCGAAAAAATATACTTTTGCATAATGCAAGCAAAATGAGCGATAATGAATTCCAGAAACCAAGCAGCATCATACACATGAAACCAGATAGTCTTGACCTCGAACCAAAAGCAGAATTGCAACTTGAGTTCCACCAAGTAAGAGCACAGCAAAAGCTCACAAGTGACAATGTTGGAATAGTCTCATCATCATCAACAATGAACCAATGTCGAATCCATATCTGGCGCTCAGCTCCCAGACTCTGAATGTCAGATCCTGTCTAGCCTATCTACAATGCCGCTGGTGACGTCAAGAGCTTCCTGAAGTAGGAGCAGATATCGGCCAATGCCGTTCGCCTCAAGCACCAGGTGCATCCTGGCCAGGTCAGAAAATCGGTCATATACATCCAGGGAAGTCCTAGTGTGATTATGCCCTTAGAGTCTAGGGATGAAGTTTGTATGCCGTCCACCAACCTCTCCAGTGTTTACTGGTCTATGTTTCACTTAGGCTTGGGTTATTGCTTGGTCTTTAACTTTTTCTCTGCCGCCTGTTGGCTTTCCAGGTCGAATGGATGCTCTTCTTCCAGCTGCCCCGCCTCTAACGAGATACAAGAAGGATGTTTTTGAAAAGAAAGGCATCAAGCCGTCGGTACTCGGATTAGGACCGATGCTCGGGATGAGTGAAGGGGATGTAAATGCCACGTCAATGCGGAGAAGAGTCAGCGAGAGCCTGGCGCAACAGCTTTCCTCTTTGACTCTCGCAACTATGTGTGTCAGGATCAACACTCTGGACTATTTGCTGAATGAGCTGAACACGATTGAGAAGAGCATCATCAGTGGTTGGCGGAAGCATTTGATGGAAATTTCGGATGACGGGGAGCATGGGCAGCACGAAGGGGAAACTCCCAATGAGCTGAGGGACATGTTCATCTCATCCAGGCAAGCGTTGAGAAAGGCCATACAGGCGCTCTGCGATTTCTCTGCATGTAAAATAGTGTTCATCGACCTGCGCGAAATTTTTATCGAAGGTTTGTACGAAGGTGGCGTTGATGGTGGCAAAGGCATGGCTTTGCTGAGTGATGAGCTGAATGTGCAGCTTGGAACTATGGTGCCTCTCATTGGAAGTGAAGATATAAAAAACCAGGCGGTACTATCTCTGCTGAAAGCAGCCATGGATGGGTTCCTGCTGGTGATTCTCGCTGGCGGTCCTGCTCGTGCCTTCAAGCGGGAAGATGCAAGGGTCCTGGAGGATGATTTTGAGCGGCTGAAAGAGCTCTTTATTGCAGATGGGGAGGGTCTGCCTCGTATGGAAGTGGAACGAACAGGTATGGGTGTCTCTCAGATACTTCGGCTCTTCGATATGGATGCGCCAGAACTTATTAAACTCGTTGACGCAGGTGACGGAGCAGGCAGCATGGATGCGCCTTCCTTCAGGACCAGTACGAGTAGCATCCTTGCATCGCCCAAGTCAACGTTGTTCGGATTCCGAAGACCAAAGACGTTGAGCACAGGCGATGCCAGATTCACAACCTCTCCTGTGCGTGGGCCTGCGGAAAGGAAGGAAAAACTGGCAGGTCACTTTCTTCCCTGGCTAACGATAACCAACCCGTCAGACTCAGGGCTTGCTCTCAGAGTGCTTTGCTACAGAGCAGACAGGAACGCTTCCAAGTACTTGAAGAAAAAGTTCCATCTCCCCAGAACGATGAAACAATCCAGCCAGACAGCAGAGGGCTAGCAGCCTAGCAGCAGTTGTTGTTAACCCACTTTGCATCAAACTCTTGGCAGCACCCAATCCCACCTGAAAGTTATGAAAATGGATGCAGTGATTTTGGGGTGCTCTCTCTCCTTGGGCTAGATGCACCAAAATTGTCCCGGGGGGATTTCTTCTCCTTGCGGGCGTAATCTGTGCAAAGGTTTTGTACAGGAAAAGAAATGAATTGGCGTTTCCCTCTGGGCTTACGTGCGAGCTAGGAGAGGTCTGCTGCTGCTTGCGTCCACGGTCAAGGCAGTGTTTGGGTCAGGGATGGCGAGCTTGCTGCTTGGGTCCACAGCCTGACCACATCTTGATTGCTGTAAAGAGGAGGCTAATAATGGGTGCCGATGTCGCACAGAGCTTCGTGCCAAGCTTCTTTCTCCTGCCTTGAAAACACTCGAGCCAAATCTTGTTCGAAACTGCCTTCGAAGTTATAGGTTAACAGATCTCCTCCGGATGTGGATGTTATGGGAGGTTGGATTCGTCATCTTCATTCCCACAGTGGTTTCTGCTTCTACTGCCTTGATGAGTGGGTTTCACTGTCAGCTACAACTGTCCCCAGTTTTTTCTTGGTGCCTGGAAATCCAGCTTGTTTTCTCCTTTGCTGTTGTGATAAAACCCGGCCCAACCCAGCAACAACACCCACGTGAAAGGTTTGATTTGATTTTTGGCGTCCAGCTCAGTACTGGTCTTCTGACCGAACCGTTAGGAGCAACGTGATTTCATGACGTGCAGCATAGAGTGAACGGCACAGATTCAATCATCTATGTGAGTGACGACTGCAAGTGCAAGGGAGAGAAGTTCCTCTCCATAGGTCAGCAGAGTTGTCGTCGCTGTTTTGTGGCTTCGCATGGAAAGGGCGGAGCGAGCGAAGAGGCCTGAAATTGCAACCACGGCGTCTTTCCTCGCTCAGCTAGCTATGGTAGCCGATTCCTGGTCTGTGAATCACTGCCACATTTGTCGGTTGAAGGTGTCAGCAAAGTGTTATCAGAGTGAAAAGAGCGGCGATGATCTGGTGCGCTCCATGAAGAGATCAGCCATACGAGTACATGGTAGATGTCAGAGGAATAACTGCGCAGTGGCACTGCGTATGTCTTGCATTTGATGATGGGTGATATTCCCTGGGAGGTCATGCGCGTCATGCAATTGCACCTCAAAGCAGTCCAGAAGTACTTTCTTGAAGGCAGGCTACCCGGGGCCACTAGGTCAAGCCCGGGAGTTAGGCAGAGGCGCTCCTAGTCTATGTTCGGAAATGCCAGCTTCGTCTTAATGCTTTGCTCCAGCATAAGAGAGAGTGCACTTTGCTTGGTGGTTGCCCGGCGATCAAATTTCAGAAGCATGTCAAATAGATCGGAAATGTGGTACTTGTATTTATACTTACTCTGCAGTAAATGGAAAGGGAGGGGGTGTTAAACAACCGCTTTTGCCTTTGCTGGAGCAAACACGCTGCTCCTCTTCTTCCTAGAGAACGGAACAACTGTCCGAGGGCGTACAATGCCGTACATAACCTTTTCAGTCAGCAGTTGCTTTTTCACAGTGCAGTGACCTTGAAGTAGGCTGCTATGCCTGCTTGCGCCTTTCCTACCCTGCCCTGGCCGTAAATATTGTTGAAACTTGAAAAGATGAATCGCGTACTCTCCACCGGTGAGAATCCGGCTTGACTGCCTTCATTACCAAGCCACAGTTCACGGTTGATTCTACCAGCAATCTGCGAATGTGTCAGCTTATGCGGCTCATTGGTGAACTGCAGGGTGTGTGTGCATGGCAGGAGAGCGATGTTTCCACCACAGCTGATGTGAGCCGATGCACGGCGAGCGATACTCCACTGGAATGGCGTTGGAGGCGGGGCAAGCACCTCGTCATACTCTTGTTGCATTAATCAGTCTTTCTGGATGAAGAGGATGTAGGATGGATTCATCCTGAAAGCAGCAGCATATGCTGCGGTTACTCACCCTTCCAAGGTGTTTGAGAAAGCTTTGTATCGCGGCAAGCAACCTGTTGTGTGCCTCACTCCTCCTCCAAGGTTTTTTCTAGAACTTGTGTGGCAACGAGTGACCCAAAGTTTACTGTGGTTCCACAAGCGCGGCAGGCACCTTTATCTTGGTGGGTTAGTGACTTGCTTTGAATTCGGCTGGATATCATGACTTGACACAGTGGTATACGTGTAGGGTGATGCCATGCACTGATGGTACCCTCGTTTGTGGGCGGCGTGTTCTGAAGATGGAAGACGGTGTGCCTCGTACGAATCTGCTTTCACGCTCTGGGAAGATCGTGTCCAAGTAAATATCAACGATTGCACTGGCTGTTGGTGCTTGTAATCAAGGGCAAGTCTCCTTCGACTGCTGTTTCACGATTTGAGCTTAAGCTTCCATCAGCGACAGTTATCCGATGCAGGAGCGTAATAGGACATCGACCGACTGTTCTGTGAGTGAATCAAAGGTGTTCCATTGCTCTTTCCCCCCTCCATCAGCGACAGTTATCCGATGCAGGAGCGTAATAGGACATTGAACGACTGTTCTGTGAGTGAATCAAAGGTGTTCCATTGCTCTCTCCCCCGCACATCCGTTAAGCATAAGTGGATGCCCCTCTTCCTAATCGTCGTCTCACCTATGCGTGGTCTTAAACGTTTGCTATTGCTGTGTTTATGCCCTTGTTATCTCCTTAAGAGGCCTTCCATTTATCCGAGTGCATTGTGTTTTTTTTCTCTTTGTAGTCTCTGTATTTTGCCGCTCCCTTAAATTTATTGTGGGTTCCATCCTTCCCGTATCGCATGTTAGCTCTACTTACAGGCCTTCCATTTAATGCATGCTATGTTTCCTTTGCTTGGGTTTTTGCTGCCAACCTTGCTCCCTTTTTCAAGCTGAGTAAGAAGCCCTGCGCACGCTCACGCTTTCTTGCCGTATTTTTGCCCGTTTCATTCGCTAGGTAACCAACTATTCGTAGGTTATGATGGTCATCGTCATCGTTCTTCTCTTGGCGGCTTTTCCGTCTGTGGGTTGCAGGCCAGCTTTCCGCCCTCTTTTGGAGCTGAGTCAGAATCCTGGCACAACTCGCTCAGGTGCTTGGCTGCCACTTTTAATGCCAGCCTCAGCTTGACTGAGGTTACACAACTTTCTGGTAGTGTCTGTAGTGTAGATCATGAGACCTAGGGAGCATACGGAGAGGAAGAGCACGGTACATTTTCTGATCGTCCAAAATTCGTTACGTGTGATTATTGTCCGCCTTTCAAGTTCTTTGCTGATTTATGTTGGGTTCAAGTCCTTGTATCCGATAATAACTAAGTTTGCTCTGTTCTTGCCAGCAGCAGTCTCTGTGAATAAGGCTTTTTTGGTTTGTGATCAGGTTAAGCTACTGTCAATGTAGGCATGCGTAAACTGACGAGATCGTTGGAGCCTCGGAGGCACGTACACCATACGTACATACATGATACGAGTTCAGCGGACCAAGATTCATAGGAGGGATTCCCAGCAAATAGCCCACTGGTAAGAAAGAACTTCACAGCTTCCCCTGAATCCAGTTTGTGGTTGGAGTTACATACACCACCATGATAAGCAGGTAATCTACGTAGCACAAGTGAAAACTACCCTGCTGCTAAGTGGAAACACCGTGTATGGCAGGCAATATGGTATGGTTACGTACAAGTGAAAAGTAAATGCAGTTTTCTAACTTTTCTCTTCTTTTCTAGGAGGACTAGAAAAGGGTGTTCTTCATTCCTGGAAGCTACCTGGGTTACTGATGCCCCTTTATGTGACAATCAATCTGTCCTTCTCTGTTCTGGTTGGTGAAAGCCAACAGGAGGGGCTGTGTGGTAGCAAAGAAAAGGTATAGGGATGTGGAGCCAATTGTTCGTCTCTGTTAGATTGCCCTCTGGTTTATCATTATTTTCCATGAGACCGTTCGAAGGAGCGGTATGCGTCATAAAACATTCTTGTGGGCGTACCGAGGGAAAGGGAGGACAGAATCGAGAAACCCACTGAGGTATGCAACTGGATTGGAGAGACTGGCTGGGGTGCTTTGCTATTAGGGAGGGAGGTGTCAGTTCCAGCTCTTCTTGCACCTGCAGCAGCACCTTCCCAGTGCACACAAGCAACCTCTAAGGTTTCACAGCCCTACCTCTCCTCTCTTTCCTTTTTTAACAGACACTGTCTTCTGCCCTTTTTTCTTATCCCTTTGCGCGAACTTCCATCTTCGTGTCGTCTTCCTTCTTATGGTCGCTTGCAACATCTATTGTGTTATAGTCTCTGCGTAAATATATCATCGAGTTCCCAAAGGCATGGATGAATAAATGGTGCGAGGCTTGACTTCGCACAGTCAACGGAACTCATTCGGATGATGGACGATCATATGCAGATGATGCACATTCATATTCAGGTCATGGACGATCATATTCAGCTGATGCACCGTCAAGTCCT